TAATATATATACATATATTTTATATATTATATATAGATATATATTTATATATCTATATATATCTATATTATATATATATCTATATATCATATATATCAATATATATCATATATTCATATATATCATATATATAATATCTATCATATATATCATATATATCTATATAATATATATATATATTTTTTTTTTTTTTTTTTACATCATAATTTTCAGAGTTTTTGGATGTACCTTATCCAGATTAATGCCTCAATGAAAAAAAAAATCTTGTCTCCTTTCTTCCTTTTATATATCCCATTCATGAAAATTGTAAGGAGAAGCTAGTCATTTATTACAAGCTGCTTCTCAAACGAGCCAGCTTGTGTAATGATTTCTTTCATAATTTTCAGATTTCCTGGTCTATAAGTGTTTTGCGGCGTCTGCTTGAGAAGATGACTGAAAGGAGAGATACGGATGAAGTAGCAATGTCATGGCTTTTGTCAGCACAGCTGGGCAACCGACTCATTCAGCTCGTAGAGCAACTGTGTGGCTCCACCAAATCTAAGAGTGTTGCTCAGTATTCTCAGGATGAGGAACTTGTCACACTGTTCAACTTTGTCTTGAGTAATGGAAATAAGAAAGGTATTTACATTTTTTTCTGGACTGTAGATTGTTAATATCTTGAAGCCTTTGACCACTGTATATGTTTCTGAAATTAAAAAATGATAGAGATGGAAATCCAAGACCAAAGGGCAATGTGTTTATAGGATCTTTATTTTTTTTCTCTTATCCAACAGACCACATCATTGCCATGGAATATGTATCCCAGATTCTCAAGAATCTAAGCTTCAATCTAAAACTTGGTGAAGAATCAGAACCTGAAGACCAGATGGTCCAGTTGGTGGCTAATCTTGCCAGCCAGTTGTTCAGTAGCTATGTCTGTTGGCAGACAACAGGAATACAAGAGTTTATGAGGTCCTTGTTCCTTCTACAGTGTCAATCGTGGAAATCACTATCAGAGCAGACCATTAATACACTTAAGTCGACCTTCCTGAAGGCTTTCAATGGTCTTATTGCTTCATTAGTTAAGGAGGACTCAGCCAAGCTTCTTGAGGATGGAAGTTGTCTTAGGTCCACTCTCAAGGATATTAAGCAGATAATTATGGAGGATAAAAGTTCCTTCAGTCTGACCATGAGGATGGCCATGCTTACAAAAGACCTCTTATCATTGGTATACGAGCAGGTGAAGACACAAGAGGTATGTGGCATTATGTTGGACCACAGCATAATACAGGCTCTGCTAGAAATTCTGGCTCCAACAGAAGGCTGTTGGGTACAAATGGAGGAGCAACTCTCCCCATTGTACATGGCTCCAGCTATACTACAAGGAAGCATAGCCTTCAGTGAGTTCCCATTCCCAAAGAAGATGCAGGAAACAGTAGTGTGGGATCACAAACACACAAGGATATCCATGTTCTTCTGTGACCTGTTGCTCTTTGTGTGTAAACACAAGAATGTTGAGGTCTTGGAGGAGGAGGAGGAAGTCTCATTGGGTCAGTATACACACCTCGTGGTTTCAGCCCTTCACTCAGCATGCCATGCCACCGTAGTGCAGGAACTCTACAATGCTCTCAGTAATGTAAGTATGATTCATACCACAAAGTGGTATGATTTAGAATATAGTTCTAGTTTAATGCAATACTTGTATACTTCATTTATCAAAAGAGATTATTATATAGAGAAAATAGCTAAAAAGCTGATCTTTCACTTGGTAGTTATGTAAAAGATATTAGCTCTTAGCAAATCAATAGTTTGCAAGAAAGTCTTATTTTTCTTTATGCAACAGCACTCAGTGTCAGAAGAAGTAAAGGCTGGTACCACAAAATTAAATGAAGACATGGGAGCATTGTTGGAGCTGTTAAATCAAGGCAATAAGCGGCTTATTACCAAGCAGATACGAGACAGGTAATTTGAGAAGAGATTGTATTTTGACTATAGATATAGAGTCCTTTCAAAAGTATTTATCAATCAGTATTTCTTACAATAGTACTTTCCTCTTCATTGGAAGTTGTATACATTGTTTAGAAGATTTATGTAAATATTTATAGATAATCTGAAACAATTACCCCAACCTCATAACCCAATTCCGCTTGAGATGGCATGTACACACATACCATGCCCACTCTTAGTTGAGTTTATTAATGGTCCTCACACATAGCTCCATAAGCACTTAGTCACCAATGAGTCATTTACTACTACTACTAGATCCAAGAAGTTATAGTAATTATGTCCATGGAAATAATAACAGCAAAGATACATTAGTAAAAAAAAAAAAAAAAATCCCAACTCAAGGAAAAGTAAAATCAGGTGAGGTCTTGAGGCCTACTAATTGGCTCCTTGGTGGCAGAGCACTTATGGAGTCAGGTACATGTACAGACATTTCACAAAATACTACAGTGAAAACTACATTTTTCTGATGGCATTGGGTTGAGAAAAAAAATAATGGATTTTTTAAATAAGTATTCATCTTATAGACTTGCAGAATACACTGATAAATTCTATATAATCTTCATGATTTAGTGGTAATAGCTTGAAAATCATACACATTTCCAATGAATATAGATGTAATATCTCACAACTCAAAACAGGTGTAGTGAAGGAAGCAGTGCTTGGTGTGTGACACTTGTAAAAGTTCTTAATATTTGGATGAAAGCGGAGGATGTCAACATTATGCGATTGTTGAACGGCATTGAGGAATCTGCTCTTGGATACATAGCAACTAAACAGGTGATTCACCATAGCAGCATGTTAGCAATGACTGGATTTTATAGTATGTCTTTATATTCTAATTCATTATTAATTTTGCATAATATATGAGGTGGTTCTCTTACAGATTTCATTAATAAATATCCCATTGTATTTGCAGTCACTCCTGCCTTTGCTGCCAAATGAACCCCTGATGGACATTTTAGCAGAGGAGATGGGGAAACTAAGTAGCCTAGAGGATAGTCCCTACCTGGCTACCCCTTGCATCTCACTCATTACAACAGCTTTGAGTCATGTGCCTCCCACTGTCACAAAAGATGTCATTAGCTCCCTTTTCTCTGTGCTGACACAGTGGCGAGAAAATGCTGATAATATATTCTTATATGCAACGTATGTCCATGTATAGTAGACTGACAGTTTTGTCTCCTGTATATACAAAATTTATGTGTTAATCTTGAAGTAAATCCTGCTTTTATAATCATAAGAAGATTAGAAGCATATGAATATATTTTACTACTGAGAAGGCTTTAAATTTTGGCATGCTTTTTTATTAGTAAATTGTTTTTTAAACAACTGCAGGTAATACCTTAAAAAACATACAGATCAGGAGGTATTATTTGCCCTTGAAAAGTTATACATAATCTCAAGTTCTCTCACTCTTTCAGTGATATCTCGGGAATGGCATGGGAGGATGTAGTGTTCACATGTTCTCTGGTTCGACTGGTGACCGTCTTGGTGAATAGACATTCTATGCACCTCGAAGCTCAGCACTGGGACTTCATCCTTTGCTCTCTGTGCTCTTGGGCTCAGTCACTTGAGGAATCCAGATTGGTGAGCTTGAGAAACCTGTAGATCTGTTAACTTATTGGATTCATGATTGTTATATCATAGAAAATTTTGGCTGAGGGCCAGGTGATGGAAGAGAGGAAGATTAGACTGAGTGGCCATTTTAACCCATTGCCGCCGGGGATGGCATGTACGTACATGCCATGCCCACTGCAAGTCGACTTGTTTGATTGTTTTTACTCATAGATGGCTACACTTGTACTAAGTATCCAATGAGCCAATTATGAGTACTGCCTGCCTTGCCCGTTCACCCTTTTCCTCGATTTACGAAAATATTTAATGTTATCCTAATTTGCTGTTAAAAATAACACCATCTATATTTATAGCACTATTAAAAATACGTTTTTTCCCGCCAATTCAAGGAAAGGTGAAATCAGGACTAGCAGAGCCATCTAGTGTATTTTTCTCTCTAATACTATTAATATTGATACTGTTTTTTCCCGCCAATTCAAGGAAAGGTGAAATCAGGACTAGCAGAGCCATCTAGTGTATTTTTCTCTAATACTATTAATATTGATACTGTTATTATTATATTTGATTATATGATCATAAGTTGATATTAAAATGATAATAACAGTTAAGTCCGTGATATAATACAAATGAAGCTTTCCAAAAATCAAAGAAAAAGGTATACTTGTTTGATTGGTAGGACAAGTAACTGACTCCTTGGTGACAAAACACTTGTAGAGCCATCTATGCATAAAGACAATAGATGAATATATACCAAAGTGGGCATAGCATGTATTCTTGCTATCTGTGCTGATTGGGTTAAGTGTGTATCATTATTTTGAGATAATGCCCTTTAGACATTATAAGAAAAAAGTAACTTTTTTTCTCTCATTCACAGAGCATCAGTGTAGAAACAGTGTCAGGAACATTTACTTGTGCAGTGAGCAAGTGTGCAGGATGTGTCAGTGAGGTGATGGAAAATCTGAAAGCTAATCCTGACCTCCAGAAGTCCTATCCCCCCAACCTCCTGGAGGACTGGAAGGAGTTCTTTTCTGCTTCCATATACAATTCCCTCCTACCCATTTTCATAGAAGTTGCTGGTGAGTATTGTTAACAGAATAAGGTCAGATCCCGGGAATTTCTTTTGTAGAGAGATAACAGGTGTGCATAGGCATACATAAACTTTATAAACATACATTTGCTGCAGTTGAGGGAAGTCCATCCTTTTTGTTTCTTCTTCTTCTTCTTCATACAGTTTATTCATTAGAATTTATATTTATATATGATTATTTGTTTAGATAACATTTTTAGTTTTTCATTTGTTTCTTTCTTTTATAAATATATAGGTAAATATGATGAAATGGTATGAAATTCAGAAGTGAATGCTACAGTGTATTGGTTCAAATGCATTGCTGTGTTGAAAGAACCATTATCAGCCAATGTGCTTTCACACATAAATCATGTTATGTATCTTTTGATGAATAGTATCTGTGCACCAATGCATGTGCTTTGAGATTTCATCCTATATATGTAACTTGTTTTTATACAACTTGAGGTCTAAGATTTTAGGTTTTCATTGATTTCATATTCTTTAAGAGTAAATATTAGCCATGCTACTATTTACAAATGTTGTATCCATATATTAATTTTATTCTGGATTGATAAAGCCCTCTTATTTTGTATGTTTATTGCAAAATCTCACTGAATAATTCTGGTATTGTCTGCATTAGGGTCAAATCCTAATCCCTTACTCAGAGGTAAGGCTGTTATGATCATGTAGTTATATATTTTTACAAAGAAGCATCTGTATATAATTCTGTTGATTTAAATTTAAATTTAATTTTCAGCCTCTTACAACACAACACCAACAGTAATTCTTTATGGAGTATGCCGAGCCCTTTCTATTGGTGTTTGCCGTGCAGGAACTGATGAGTTAGCTAACCACACATTGCCAGCAATCTTTAATGCTGATGATGCTGAAGCTGATCTCAAGCTACCAGATTCAGAGCAGGTGTGTAAATGAATGATACAAGTTATGTTTTGTTGATATTTATGGCAAGTATTAGAGTTTGGAAAAGGAAATTTGTATTTGTAAGAATACATTAAAGGCCCTAGTATCTAACCTACTAGCTGCCTTGCATTAACCTATTGGATCCAGGTGCCTTGCAGCATACATGGACCAAAATCCCAGCATTAGGTTCCCTTGAGTAGCAACTTTCCTGGATGTATGGCTTGTAGGCCCTGCCAACACAAGTACTCAATTGTGGCATCAAGACTCCGTGCCTCATCTTTGCATTAGCCATTTGAATTTTGCTATTTTTTATTTTCTGAAGTCTATATGTGATATGCTATCATTTAGTTATTTTCTTTGCCTCTCTGTGAGAGACATTTGCCAACCATTTCTCAGGGGGCAGGCCAGTGGCTACAGACTTAGACCTTTCCCGACGGGTCATGCTGTGAGGTGTCAAAACAAATTGCCAAAGTGCTACGAGCCGGTGATTTGGCTTGATGTACTGAACTTCTGCGCGTTGCCATTGATCTCCAGAGCATAGTTGTTTTTCTTTCTTTCTTTCTTTCTTTCTTTCTTCATCTGTCATTGAGGGATTAACCCCTTCACGATGGGTGATGCCTATATTTTTTTAGTTTTCTTCACTCATCACCATTGGGTTAAAGGTGTTCACCACTCCTTTAACTTTCCCATGGATGTGGCACCCTGCCCACCCTGCAAATAGAGTTGGTATATCTGCAGTGCAATGATCTGAATCACACTTCTTCTTAGCTGTCCTACAAATAGAACCTTATCCTTCCATTTAGCAGTGTATGAAAATTCATTGCACATGTTCAGTGCAATGTGGCTATGATTAGCAGTACCTGCTGTGTAAATAGCTCCTTTCCAAAAGAAGTACACAAAATCTTGCCATTGCTCCCAGCTTTTCAACACCATCTCAGTAATATTCTCCTGTTATCTACCTCATCCACTAAGTCAGACATTGAATCTCTTCATGGCAAGCAGTGGCACCTGTCTCTCTGATTTACTTGTTTTTCAATAAACTTCTTATGTGAAGTCAGTCCAGGTGTGAGTGACATGAACTTGCCATCATCAGAAAATTTAGCTAAGTTCCAAGATGACGGGAGCTTGCCGTCATGAAAATTCCAACTGAAGGTTAGGGTGATGAAAATTACTCACCATGAGTGTGCACAGTTCTTGGAGGATGTTTAGCCTCTGTGGGCACTTAGGAAGGGGACTTTTGCATTATTTTAATTGACAAATGACTGTGGAATGTACCATCCATGAGCCATGACTGGAAGAGCACCAGCTCCAGGTGGATGCTGTTTCCATGCTCAGGATCCTATTCCTGCATTGCAGGTTGTATTACATAAAATTGAATATTACGAAAAGATATAAAAATACACAAATAACAAAATGTTATTTATGGTTATTATTATTGCTCTGAGTTACCTGACTACCTAGAGAGATGAAATGGAGTTTGTGCACAAAAACATCTAATACTATCTGGAGAAAGCAAATAAAACGTTAAATATAGACATTGGAAAAGTAAAGAAGCAAGAAAGGCTTATACAAAAAAGAGAAAACAGCAATGCAAAGGGGAGGCATGGAGTCTTGTCACGCACACGAGTGCTCATGTTCGCTGGCCCACAAATTGCACACTCATCAGAGTGACTGCTCAAGTAAGCCTATTGCCCATATTTTGGGCCATGTGCAGGCAATGAAGCAACTGAATCCAAGGAGTTTAAGCATGGTTGTAACTGAAGATTAGCTAGTGATTGATGTGACATGGTGATGATATGTGATTAGGCACTAGTATGAAACTCCATGTTTCCTTTGCTTTTACAAAAGGTTTTCAGCTTCACTGAAAACTAGATTTTTTGCATTTTCTTACAGGCTGTTTTGCTGTGGTAATTCAATGAAAACATCAATAAATAAAACATCTGTTGGAACCTTTCAAATATCAAATTGCAAATATTCCAAATGTTAAACTTCGGTTAATTTCACAGATTTTGCTGAACCATCTTGCCCCTCTGCTTGTGTGCTCTCATCCACCCACACAATATGCAGCCTACAGCATGCTCAGCACAGCACTCCCAGGCATCATGGAGCAGTGGGAGAAGAACAAGACTGTAATTAAAGAAGAAGAAGACATTTCTCAGCGACCTCTGCCATATGCCATAACAAGGTGTATTATGGAGGTAAGAAAATATGCTAGCTGTGAAGAATGCATTTGGGGGTTCTGGAAAATAACATTTTGGAAATATATATGTATATATATATATACATATATATATATATATATATATATATATATATATATATATATATATATATATATATATATATATATATATATATATATATATATATATATATTCTTAATTTGTTTGTGGCAGTCTTGCCCTTCTATTCTGTCTTTTATTCCTTCGGCCACTTGTTCATATAAACACATAAATATATCTAGTTTATATGTACGACACGAATTGTGTTTATGCTTTTCATCTATCTTTGTATTTCCCCCGTTTGTCATTTTTTTGCTGTTACCTGTCCTTTCTATTTTTCCTATTTGTTTCAGTGTGGCAGTATTGTAGAGGCATCACTAGCAGACAAGGAGATGGGTGATGAGTGTATTGTGGTTCCCTACACCGACAGCCACATATACATTGCTGGCTACCTGCTGGCCTGGAGGTTAGCTCTGAATGCCCTTACACATGCTTCAGACGCCAACCAACACCAGTACTCTGCTTACCTTAGGTATGTGGTAACATTAAACTTTGAAGTATTTGTATCTAGTGTTCAATTGTAATGTTGGGTAAGGAAGTAAATTAAACATTTTCGAGTAAAAAGTGTCTGGAGAGAAGAGAAGAATATAAATAGATGGAAATGAAACCATGTTCTTTGTTTTGATATTCCTCTCAACTTTACTTTTTAAAAAATGCTTTTCAGAGATGGATTGGTGTGCAGTTGAATAGCCAAATAAAAGAAAAACAGATCTAGAGAATTCAAGTTCATGAGAGGAAATAAAATGAATTAGTATAATCCTACTTCACTTTGATAATTTATTTGATATTTTTCCCTCATGTATCTTTGCAGACAGTCAAATCTCTTGCAGAAATTATTATGTAACCTCTTCAAGTTGATGCCTCGAGCACCTCTTGTTGAAAGGGTGAAGCAAGACAATGTTAAGGAGGATAAGATGCCATCAACCATGTTCAGCACAGAACTCCACATTAACCCTATAAGTGAGATTATTATTATTTATTTATTATTATTATTGTTATTGTTATTATTGTTATTATTGTTATTATTATTATTATTATTATTATTATTATTATTATTATTATTATTATTATTATTATTATTATTATTATTATTATTATTATTATTATTATTATTATTATTATTATTATTATTATTATTATTATTATTATTATTATTATTATTATTATTATTATTATTATTATTATTATTATTATTATTATTATTATTATTATTATTATTATTATTATTATTATTATTATTATTATTATTATTATTATTATTATTATTATTATTATTATTATTATTATTATTATTATTATTATTATTATTATTATTATTATTATTATTATTATTATTATTATTATTATTATTATTATTATTATTATTATTATTATTATTATTATTATTATTATTATTATTATTATTATTATTATTATTATTATTATTATTATTATTATTATTATTATTATTATTATTATTATTATTATTATTATTATTATTATTATTATTATTATTATTATTATTATTATTATTATTATTATTATTATTATTATTATTATTATTATTATTATTATTATTATTATTATTATTATTATTATTATTATTATTATTATTATTATTATTATTATTATTATTATTATTATTATTATTATTATTATTATTATTATTATTATTATTATTATTATTATTATTATTATTATTATTATTATTATTATTATTATTATTATTATTATTATTATTATTATTATTATTATTATTATTATTATTATTATTATTATTATTATTATTATTATTATTATTATTATTATTATTATTATTATTATTATTATTATTATTATTATTATTATTATTATTATTATTATTATTATTATTATTATTATTATTATTATTATTATTATTATTATTATTATTATTATTATTATTATTATTATTATTATTATTATTATTATTATTATTATTATTATTATTATTATTATTATTATTATTATTATTATTATTATTATTATTATTATTATTATTATTATTATTATTATTATTATTATTATTATTATTATTATTATTATTATTATTATTATTATTATTATTATTATTATTATTATTATTATTATTATTATTATTATTATTATTATTATTCACACGATTTTCAATCAGTCAGCCATTACCAACAGTTTAAGTGTACCCTTGCCTGAATACATGAAAATATGATTGAAATTATAACTGTTTTTCCTCTTTCCCATATTAATTTCCTTATGGGCATGTTTAATGTTTATGAAAACTGTTTGTTATGTGATCAGCTTGAACTCAACTTTGATTTTTTAAGTGGCTGTGAGGGAATGAGATGTTTCAGGAGTATTCAGTTAAGACATGAGTTTCTTGTGAAAAGAAATAATATTAGTAATACTAATAATATTAATAAACAGAATAATAAAAATATACATAATTTGCATATAAAATCAATAGCTGTCCATACTAAATATCTTTTTTCTATTTGTTTCTTTCTGCAGCCAAAGTAACTTCAAGACTTGTAGCTCATCTAGCATGCAAGGTTTATTATGATTGCACAAGCCGTATCCCTGCGGCTGTAAGACAGTGGTTCATAAGCTTGGAGAGGCATTTCCAGCAAGTTGTTGACCCCTTCACTGCTACATACGTATCTCCATTGTTGATTGCACAAGAAATGGCAGCTGTAAGCAACTCATTTATGAAATTTGACAATATGACGGTAAGTGGAGGTAGTGTTGACACTATTTAAGTAGTAGCAATTTTTGGTAATGAAACTGATCAGCCTTTTATATCTCAGCATGGTTTTCATTTTCATCATACTGAATTTTAGTATTTTACTATTGAGTCTTATTTACCTAAATATTAGACTTATTTTCTATTGCCATGATTGTCAGTCAATAGCCAGATCCTTTTTACCTGACTGCATACTTGGAAAACAATAGTGACTCGAGGTTCAAACTTATATTGTATTGTATTGTATTTTATTTTTTTTTATAATTTTTTTTTTTTATATCATTTTTCAAAACAGTATTTACTGCTTTTAGAGCCAGGGTTATGTTCACCACAGTAAATATTTTGAAATATTTTGATACACCTCTATTTAACTTACAAATGAGAATAATTTGCTTGTTTCACATTTAATAACATATCTAAAGTCTTATGAAGATGTTTAAACTAAATTATTAGTGTTTATGAAGATTTCACTGAAGAAAATAGATATGTCAAAATTTACTAACATGACTTCTCTTCCACTCATAGGTGAAAGCTCGCACAGGTGCGAGGGAAGTGGTGGCCACATACACCATAGATGAGGCTAGCATGGAGATAGTTCTCCGAATGGCACCCAATCATCCTTTGTCCACTATTGTTGTTGAAGACCACCGAAGACTAGGAGTTTCAGTTGCTCAATGGCGAAATTGGTTGCTTGGGGTAGGCATTTGATTGCAGTTGTTATGGTCTTTTTTTTTTCTTTTTTGTCTGCCATATGTGTTGATAATCGCAGATGATCTATGTATGTACCCTGACATACCTTTTCTATCTTACTTTCAGCTAAACACAATGCTTTCCCACCGCAACACACCTCTGATGCAGTCTCTAGCCTTCTGGAAGAAGAATGTGGACCAGAAGTTTGAAGGTATTGAGGAGTGTTACATTTGTTACTATGTCTTACACGGAACCAACCACCAACTCCCCAAACTCCTGTGCAGGACCTGCAAGAAGAAGTTCCACTCAGCCTGTCTTGTAAGTAGATATCTTTTATTTTTTTCATTCACAAAGGTTAGCATAAAATATATTTGCTGTTATTTTTATTATAGAGATGTTTTAGAAGAAGTGCAATTAATTTTTTATTGTTTGCTATGATGTTGAAACTTCTTAACCCATTCGCTCCAGATTTATGTTCTGTCCCCTGTAGTTTTTGGTGAATTTTGTTGCATAAAGATGGCTCCACATGTGCTCAGCCGGCAAGGAGTCTATCAGTAGGCCCTAGTTACCGATCCTGATTTTCCCATTCATTGAATTGACGGGAAAATTAATACCACTGTTATCGATATTGTTATTATTGTTATTGTTGTTATGATTATTAAATTGTCATTAAAATAATTTAGATAATGAAATGATACAAAAAACCCTTTCCTAAAGTGAAGGAAAAGGGTAAACAGGTGAGATAGGTCGTTCTGGATAACTGGCTATTTGGTGATTAAGAACTTGTGGAGCCATCTATGTGTAAATACAATAAATAAACGTGTATTACAGTGGGCATGGCATGTATTCTTGCCACATGGGGTGAATTTGTTAAAAGCTGATTATTGGCATTCAGCATAATAATTATATTTTTTTCTTTTCTTTTCAGTACAAATGGTTCAATAGCAGTAACAATTCAACATGTCCATTGTGTAGGGCTCTGTTTTAGTATAAATATCCATATATATTCTATTGTGCTTGATTATTTTTATGTTAAAAATGTGGCCTTGAGTAGTAATGTGAATTGTGTCAATTTCATTTTATTTAGTCATGCAAAGGTTGTTTTATTTATTGCTAGATTAATGTCACACATGACTGGGTAACTTTAAAAATATATTTGATTGGAATGATGTGAATATATTCTGCTGATAATGGAAAAATAATAAATTTCGTTGTTTAAATATAACAAGGTATTGTTATATTGTAATATTAAAATTAAACATTATTTTCCAAATATTCTTTTCTTCTATCCTTGATATTTGTTATAATCTGGAGAGACCATCTGTTACACTGAATGTAATCAATTTTATTTTGTTTTTAGAGAATAATCATTATAAAGGTGAATTTATTTAAGCGAGAAGCTTAAATAAATGTATGTAAATGACAACTCATTTATCTTCAAATTTTATTGAAATTACAAGTTGTGCACAACAGCTTCTATGTAATAATACATATATAATAAAACATGCTCAAGATGTCCTTATGATATGAAGTAATGCACACATCATGTGAAGTTTATAAACAATATTGAGTGTGAATTGAAATTTATTTTTGAAACATTTTTTTCTAACACGATGCCCCTAGTGTGGCTCAAGACATAATTGTATGATTGGAAGTGTTTACAGATAAAGCTGTAACAAGAAAAGTGTATGAGCATTGTCTTGTAAAGCTTAAAGACACAAATGTCAAAATGGCAGAGAAAGCAATGATTGCACAAGGATAATTATTATGAGAAAGGGTTTTAAAGTCTTACTACAATTACTCCACGTGGGTTTCACTTCTTTAAGAATACATATTTACTACAAGGAAAGCAAGAGTGTCAAAACTGCACCTGTATCTCAAAAAAAGCAAGTCATGAGAGTATGTTTGTGATATTGTGAGAGTCATGGAAGTGTTTACAAATAAAGCTGTAACAAGAAAAGTTTGAGCCTAGTCTTGTAAAGCTTAATGATGCAAACGTCAAAATGGCAGAGAAAGCAATGATTGCACAAGGATAATTATTATGAGAAAGGGTTTTAAAATCTTACTATAATTACTCCACGTGGGTTTCACTTCCTTAAGAATGTACATTTACTACAAGGAAAGCAAGAGCATCAAAACTGCACCTGTATCTCAGGAGGGTATGTTTGTGATATTGTGAGAATCATACAAGTCTCGGGTGTTTTGTGTTTTCAAATAATTTGAAAACAAACTTTGAAGGTCAAATGTTTTTACATTTTCATACTACTTTCTTGAAAAAAAATTAGTAATTTTATCATTCATTCTTTATTAATATGGTTGAATACTTTTGTCTGTTTACAAGGAAAGTACCAAAAGGCTACACTTCAGTAATATACTGTTTGTTAAGCTTTATTTAGAAGATAATTACATACTTTCCCCCAAATTTGTTAGATAGTTTTAAATAACTTAAAAGGCTTTCCTATTGACTTCTTCCACAAAAACTATTTCTCAAGTGATCTATGAAATTTTGCATAAAAAAAAGAAAAAAAATATATATATATTATTACTCTCCAGCTTAATTAGCTCTAAAGAAACAAGGGGTGCCTTTTACACATAGAAACTGTTGACTGGATTCTTGATGCTGAACTTCTGATGACTGTAACAGCGTACAATTATAGGTTATAAATTTTATAACTCACACTGACCAGCCTTTTGCATGTATATTTTTCAAATACTGACATGTGCATAAATATTTACTTCAAACATGCAAAATTCCTTTAGATTAAAAGGCAAGACAAATTATAGGTACTTACAAACTACATCCTTTCACATGAATTATAAAGGAATAGCTCATGACTAACTACCTAATGACAAGATAGCAGAAAAACCACATTACTGGTAGTCAATCCTAACCTTCCCCATATTTATGGGACTAAACATGCCTTCATATCCCACTACTTTATTCTGTGGCTCAGTGGCACTTCCTCGTCTTCTTGGCCAGAACATTCCCACAAAACTATCTTCACACCTTTTTATATCATATGACACCTCATGACTTCAGAGCTTAGATTGATTGCTTCTTAGCAATGGTTAATGGTTAAGAAGTAAATGTGCTAGACATCAAAGGTCACATAGCACTATAGGAAGGTATAGTAGTGGACAGGGTAGAAGGGGGGGGAGGGAGTTAATTATAAGGTGCTATACATCAACAGTCATACTGGAGTAGGATGGTATTGGAAAGGGTAAAGATGGGTAAAGGGGGAGAGGATGAATGAATGGGTTAAAGTAAGATTAAGCAAGGGGGATTTAAATGAAGTGAACGATATGTATGATTTGGAGGAAGAGCAGATTGCCAAAGCAGAAAAGTGGGATTCTGTAAGGATGTTCTGACAGGTTCAGATGCTGCTTAATGGTTAGAACAAATAAATATGCTAGACACCTGAGGTCCTGTAGTACCAGCTTCTTGGCAAGTATCATGCCCATTTAAGAAGGTAATTTACAATTAATTAACAGGTCAATTGATGTTCTGAGAAAAATCTTCCCAAATAAAATCACGAGGTTCTACCAAACATCATCTACTTCTACTAATAGCTTTCCTTGTGCTATTTACACCTTCAGACAGTAGATTACTTACTAGATCCCAATTTCTATACAAACTTTCTTTTCTCATGTCTTACTATCGTCTATGCTATATCCCTACATTGCTTCCTAGGCATTCATTTTACATCTAGTAGTCCTACATGCCTGTGTACCTGTCATGCCTGCCTACCCTTTCTTCTTTTCTAATTATTCCTTTTTTTCCTCCTTATACATTTTCATCACTCATACATTCTCAGATCTAATTTCATTTTAAAATTAATTAAATTTTCAAAGCCTCCATATAAGGTTGGTTTCACAGTCATGAGTTTATTTATTTCCTGGATGTGGATTTCAACTATTTCAGTGATTTATGACATGCTGTTGACTTACAGATTCTTTATGAAATCTGTGTTTGACATTTCTGGAATCCAACTCCAACAGTGATATGACATCCGCTTGTTCTTAAAAAGTATTTTGTAGTTTTTTAGTGATCAAATGGCTATCTTTTAGACAATGTGGTTATACATTTTACTATATATTTTATTGCATCAGTAATGGAGAAACACTTTTACATTATACCTGGTGCCTAAAATAACTCAAAGGTAGATGAGAACTTTATACATTTCATGGGAAAGGAGAAAAAAATATATATATATAGAGTCCTACCTAAAATCGAGACTGTTAAAGGACCAACAAAAATATTCAAACTATTTTTGTATTAACCAATGTGTTAATGACTTAAAATCAATTAACCCTTTAGCTACAATACTCCACTATGGTGACACAGAATTCTTAATTCCCACATCAATATGTTCAACTACAGTCCATGTGTATAAAAATACCTAGCCTCATAGCACCAACAGTTATGCCCACCAGAATAAATTCAGGACTACAATTTTTAAGTTTTTACACTAAATTACACCTATAAAGTTCCAGTTATAGCTTTAAAATGCCCCTAGAATAGCAATTTTTTCTTTTTCTTTTTTTGCTTTGCCCCGCCCCATACTCAAGATAAATCTGAAATGATAGCCCTGACTGACACACAAACAGCTAGTGATATCCATTGATGCACATAATTAGTTGTTTTTGACAAAAAAGCATCATACAGCACAAAATACTGATATGGTCAATTCACATTAGAATAGATTAATTTCTCAACTACATTTTGGTATGCTGTCCCCTTCGACCATTATATCTAAAGGGTTAAAGGTTTCTAAAGGTCTTTTTTGTTTACAAAGCCAGTCCATACAAACCAAACAGAAACCAAATAAAAACATGTGTCTGTATTGTTTGAAATCAGCTACATTTTAGTATGAATTTTACTTCAGTGATTTATGACAGGCAGACCAAACCAGAGAGTAGGGTAGCTATAAGCAAGTCACAGATATGGAGAGGTGTGTGAATAGGTGTGTTGTTTTGGTGCATCATCCTATTAGTCCACATCTCTGTAGTTCTCTCAGACTCTTCATGGAATTTTGTTATTGATTTATCACATGAAATAAACTTACAATGAGCACTTATAACACCCTCCCATGCAGATTTCCAGTCCCTCATATCTGAGGGACTGGAAATCAGTTACAGAACTACAGACAGTCCCCTTAAACACAATCCTTGTACCTAAAGCAATGTTTTTACAAGTCTTAGTTTCTCTTTGGACTGACCTCATATCACATACCTTGATATAAGTAAAGATAAAGAGACAAATAGATATTGATACAGAGATTTATATAGCTATAGTTAGAAATATAGATTGTATGTATTACATTGGCTATTGAGCCCTTTTGAACCCACTTGTGATGGATGGGTAAAACTTGCAATGAAGTCTGGTAAGGGGGTGTACACTAATGCATGCTACCCATGCTTGGGTTATTAGCATGCAAGACATCATCCCAATAATTAGGACTCAAATTCATAACATGATTAAACATCACCCTGCATTTAGTTTTTTTTTCCATGATGTGACACGAGCCCACCTTTCACTAATGGTTAACAGCTATGATGACATTTCCTTTTGTGTTGGAGACTGTTGGAACTGGCATCCAGGATAAATGAGAAAGACTTTACTTTAAGGGCATACATGGTGATTATGTAACTGGAATCATGAACAGCCATATATCCAGACAATTAACATGCTGCATGTGGGTTTTAAATGTGTTAGATACTACATGAGCTATGGATATGTAAATGGAGCCTATAATTATTAGTACACTATTATTAATTGGGATTTAATTTAAAGTGAGAGTTTCACTTAAATCTGACCCCCAGGCACACATTCCTTGACGTGGTCTTTCCATGTTCTGCAAAGGAGTTTTTGACTGACCAAAGTGAAATGTAAAACTTCTTGGCACTGCTTCATTCATGGAACATTCCATACCAAGCCTCTGAATAGGTAATGCATACACCGGTCTATACAAAAGTGAAACATGGGAAGCAAGCAAAGAAAATTAAAAAGCAATATCATATGTCTGTAATCTCAATCTTCCTTCTCCATTGCAAAAGAAATTATTCTACAGATCACATCAAGGCTTCAGATGCATTTGTATTGTCAGATCAAGGCTTCAGATGCATTTATATTGTCAATGTTAATATGATTTCCATTCACCAATTACACATACATTTCAGTATCTGACAATCAATAAAAAATAAGAGTAGGAACATATGTAACAACAGTTTGGAATACCCATTAATGGGAATTTATTGGTCCTCAAAGCCAACAGCATGATCTAGACATTAGTAAGTGAGAACATACTGATATTTTGTTGTGTATTAGAGAGTCAGAAGACAGATAAGTACACCACTCACTGTGCTCCAAAAAGAATTAGGCTGAAACCTGTAGTGCTCAATAAAGAAAAAATTAATTCATAGTGTTTGACACATCTCAAACCATGCTGAAGTTGCGGTGCTTGCACAGCCCTTGCTTTTGCCTATGACCAATTTCCAAGATATTAAATTTCAAAATAAAATAAACAGGATCATCAGCCACAGCTAACCTTGAATATTGTTCCTTTACACATATCTACTGTACGTTTTTAAATAACTTTAAAGATCTTTGGCAATTTTCTATATCATATTTCACAGCTGAACATAATCTCAAATATGATCAAGGTTAAATTGTTTTTCAAATGTAAAGATAAAAAATAATGATGCTATACAATAAGTATAAGCTGCTTTTTTTATAAATGTTGCATAAAAAATATTAAGGAAAAAGTATTAATACTTGTACAATGAGCATTATACTGCTATTCTCGCAAGATTATGATTTAAGATCAGATAAGAACTTGAAAATGATTTTATTGAATTCTTCCTTTTTGAATTGTACAAAAATTTAAAAGTTTCATCTACAAAATAATAAAAAGTTATAAACATCCAAAACCCTTGTGACAAAAAAATTATAAATACTTTTTGCTTTTGTATATTTACAGTCCATACTAAACAATATACTGGTGAACATTCAGTACATATAGATCTCTTTCGTGCCATCTATCTATTCAAAATAGTACAAAAAACGAGTATCTATAAAAAGTCAAATACATTAAGATTCTTCACATGTCAAGATGGAAAAAGTTCTGGTACCATTTATATCTAAATACAACCAGCAAACGATTGTAGCCATATCTTGTCTTGTAATCCTATTTAAAATAAGTATGAAAAGAACCATTTCTTGGTATAGTAAAAAGTTACAAATATGATATATAACACAGGCTGGATAATACAATGACTCCTATAGAAAGAATTATTGAAAAACATGAGCATGAAAATCCATATTAGATTTTACATATGTACAGAAAGTCCCCAACTTACGAACATAATGGGGACCGAGAGGCTGTTCATAACTCCATTTGTTTGTATATCGAAAGTCGGGTCTCCATTGCCTTTTTTCCTATTGTTTTAAAGTTTTGTTTACATTAAGAATACCTGTACATAAATCCCAATAAGTATTTTTGATGGATTGATGCACAGGTAGAGCGAATTATGGCACAAAAATTGGTGGTACACGAGGACACAGTGAACAGATGCTTTCGTGTTTATGGCGGGAGGGCAGGCGTCTAAGGCGAGTGATGAGCTGAGTGAGTGCAGCAGCACCACGGCATGGCAGACTCGTGAACTATATTCACGTCCGGGAAATTTGAAGTTTGCTAGCATCTTTCAAACAATTTTTTTTACTTAAGTATTGTTTGTATGTATGGAATGTTCGTAAGTAGAATGTTCGTAAGTAGGGGACTTACTGCATATACTAACAATAATAATGTCTCTATTGTGTAAAGAGAACAAGATACTAATAATCCTAATGAATAATAATATGTATTTATTTTTAATATCTGGATAAAGAATCAGCGACATAGTTATCCAGATTTATCAATAATTATGAAAGCTTACCTCAAAAACCTATATAAACATCTTATCTCAGTAACAAACAGAATAAATCTGATGTGTAGCTGGATGAAGTACACAAGCCAAGTTTGCCATTATGTAATGAAATAAGAATAATGAAAAAAAGGGTCACAATGGCACATCACCAGACAAATCACCTGTTACATTCAATTGACTCAGTATTTTGGACGGAAAGTTTTGATCACACCCACATTAGACTCCAAGGTTCTATCACATATTTGGTGACAAAAGTGAGAAAGGGATAAAGAAAGATAAGGAAAAATTCACTCACAGGTTAATTGTAAGTGTACTATATAAAAGAGGATTTTAGTTTTGTATATGCTGAAAGAATTGTTACAACAATTTTTGCATTCTAATTAGTAACATTTCACTTTGGATAAAGCCAACTGGTAGGCATTTCTCTGGTATCTTGTTTTTTATTTTTATTTTTATAAAACAAAATATTACATAAACATTTGTAACTGGTCACTTACTTGCCAAGTACTTGTCACTTCTTATTGCTTCCAGTGTGACCATTGACAATATAAATTCTTCCAGTTGTCCTTGCTATATCAAAACAAAGGGCTCACAAAACTGCCAACACGATTTCCTGGGATCATCAAGTTTTACCCATCAGGTCACCAAAACATCATAATACCCTGAATGATAGGCTATCTGAAATTGTACCCTAAAGTACTTCCAGGTTACAAAGGTCTTCAAAATTCTGCTAGTCTGGAATAGATAGCTAATGTAACCTACATAATATATGGTCTCAAACAACTTTCATCATTTTCTTTGCTCTTATTCTATAAATAATTCTAAAATAATGATGACATGTCAAATTCAACTAATGTACGACTAATAATCAAATGATAGTTCCTCTGCTTACTTCTGTGTTACATAACTACATAGTGACCAAGAAATACTTGCATGAGCTGATAAAGTATCCATATACCACATCATCACTTAGTCAGAATCATATCTAGAACCTAATATTCCAACTGTAACTGTGAATACTGGTCTTTTGAGGTGCAACACAATAAAATTTTCATTCTAATATAATGAGGCATGGAAATATCATGACTAGATCATCAACTAGAACTAAAACTTAGTATTTCTTATTGCTTACAAAACAAAGTGTTCACAATACTTAACATCAATTTTTAGAAATAATAAATAAAGAATATTGAGCAAAGACAGCTACAAAACATTTGAAATAAAATTTTTAAAAGTGGCAACAGTGCAAACACATAATAAAATGCTCACTTATTTAAAATAAAAGAAAGTACATGGTATGAAAGATGATACTTAAATTAAGATATATAGGATCCACTTCTATGTTGCTGTATCACACTTATCAAGAATATTACACAAGCTTATGCAGTACTGAGATCAAACTGTAATACAGCCAAAAATTCCTTCCTACTGACTAATAATAATAATAAAAAAAACTCCCCATGATATGCACACAGCCTTTCAAAGAGTACTTTGCACTCCCACAGCTACAAATTCCTTTATTTGGCCGCTTCAAGAACAATACCTACTTTACTGTACTGATCTACAGTTACATCCTTTTCTTATCTATCTTCGCATTACAAAATCTATCACAGAGATACTGGATTGGTGCAGGTCTACGAAGACTTGAGGCACAGAAGCATATGTTAACCTACTGGTATTAAGCATCAAATATATATTACTTGCATAATGCCATTCAACTTAATCACATTAATAATAACAGTAATAATAATAATAATAATAATAATAATAATAATAATAATAATAATAATAATAACAATAATAATAATAATAATGATAATAATCATAATAACAATAATGATGATAATAATAATAATAATAACAGTAATAACAATTATTGTAATAATAATAATAACAATAATAATAACAATAACAATAACAATAACAACAACAATAACAATAATAATAACAATAATACTAATAAAATAATAAAATAATAATGATAATGATAACAATAATAAAAATAATAATGATAATGATAATGATAAAAATAATAATAATAAAAAAAAAAATAATAATAATAATAATAGTAATAATAATAACAACAACAATAATAATAGTAATGGTAATAATAATATGAAGAAAAATAATAATAAAGATAACAACAACAACAACAACAATAACAACAATAATAACAATAATAATAATAATAATAAAAATAATAATAAAATGATAATAGTAATAGTAATTGTAATAGTAATAATAGTAATAGTAATAATAGTAACAGCAATAATAGTAATAGTAATAATGATAATAACATTAATGAAGATAATAATAATAATAATAATAATGTTAATAACAATTATAACAACAATAACAATAATAATAATAACAATAATAAGAATTAGAATAAGAATAAGAATAATGATAATAACAATAACAATAACAATAACAATAATAATGATAATAATAATAATAATAATAATAACAATACTAATAATAATAACAATACTAATACTAATATTAATACTAATAATAATAATGATAATAATAATAAAACCAGTAATACTACTACTACTACTACTAAAAACAGTAATGATAATAATAATAATAATAATAATAATAATCAAAACAGTAATAATAATAATAATAATAATAATAAAAACAGTAATAATAATAATAATAATAATAATAATAATAATAATAATAATAAAAACAGTAATAATAATAATAATAATAATAATAATAATAATAATAATAATAACACTAATAATGTAGGATCTATCCCATGGTCCACTATTCACAAAAATGTTTGTAAACTATTCTTGTCGTTGCCATACTCTTCAACAAAAATCAGGATTTTGAATTTAATAACTATTGATATGATTTAAGCTGGATTTTTTTCTTTTTTCTTGGCAAAAGCCTGGATGTATTTCTTTACAGCATGTGCAAATGGGGGGTTGAGTGGGACCCTGCACTTCTCAGGAAATTATAATGTAGCTTTAGTCTCCAGGCTTTACATACTATACAAAGCAAATAGCAAAAACAGTTGGTTGTTGGTTTGGCTTCATAATGACCCATTTAATTAAGCAGGTGAGCATAAACAAGTGGCACAAGAAAGTAACGGCATACTAGACTACAAGTGATAATGTCATCATGGAATTTCTGAAATAAGCTAATGACATCTTCCGTATAAGCAGCATTACTATCATGCTGAAATTCATGATTGTGGGGATGGAGGGTCTGAGGGTAGTGGAAGAGACTGCAATGAGATATTTTTTTAAACTGTATTGTTGATGTTTGCTTAGCAAATATCTGTCTAACCTTGCACTCAAGGCATAAGAAGTTCCCTCCATGGTTTCGGAACTCATAATAGTATGTGTATATTTTCCATGTTATCACTGTATCTTCTGTCACACAAAGCAACATGCTTTGTGTCACGTGCAAGCAAAGACATGCATACTTGCACACATGCATATATGCATGCATACATGAATTCATACATGCAAACAAAATCATTAGAAAAATCACTGTAAATATTTTTTCTCTTTCTAACTGATGATTAAAGGAGTGCTGTTGTAATCATACTGAAGGCAGTCAATGGTTGAAATGAACTGGCAGAATCTTGCCCAGAAGCATTCTCCTTTCAGCCTCATTTCATTCACCTTAAAAATTTACTGTAGCATAATGGTCACGTAATAATCTTTACCAAATTTGTTCCTACACACACTGAGTGGTCCACTCCACCAAGCGAAGGGAATAAGCCCAGCACATAGGTATATCTTGCAGCTTGACTTTGAAGGTCTTCCACTAATTTATGAACTGGTTTCTAATAACTTGGCAGTAAACTGAGGTAAGCAAAGATTATAAAATGAGGAAGCCTGAAAATCAGATATGGACTGCCACTTTGCCCAGCCGCTTGCTTGCAGGGATGCAACGTCCCTTGCTTCACCCCAATAATGAGGGTCCTGTAGGCAAAAATTGTCATCTGTTACTCTCTTTACTTTCTAGTGTTAGACCTGAAGTGCATAAAAAGTAATTCTATGTATCACTAGAATTAATTATGTAAAAAAAATATATTCTAATATTAACTCACTGGATCTGGGTGACATGACGATCACATCAGGAAAAAATTTGACTGAGGGCCAGGTTATGTGTCATCATGGAAAAAATTAGTGGGAATGACTTGTCATGAATGCACACAGCTCTTGGAGGATGATTAAACTAAGTGGGTATTTAGTATGAGGCTCTTGCATTATTTCCACAGGTAAATTAAGGTGGAATTTAACATCTGTAAGCCATGGCTGGAAAAAGCATCATCTCCAGGGAAGACACCATTTTCATTCTTAAGATCCTTCCTACCCATTGTAACCAACAGCGCTAAGTGTGTTACAGAAAATCAAATAATACAATAATATAAAAAAACCCACAAATAACACAATGCACTTAATTCCTACTGTTATTGCACAGAGTTATAGAGTATCTAGAGAGACAATATTGAGTCTGGTCAAGGAAAGCAGTCTCTTATGATTTTGATATAGTATATGACAAATAGAGAACCTGGAAAATTGCAAAAAAAACAAAAAACAAAAAAACTGCTCATCCAAAAAAAAACATAAGATTGCAAAGGGGAGGCAAGGAATCTTAAAAAACAGTTCATGTGGGCTGGACCTACTAGCCACTCACTTAGGAGAGTCACCACTCTAATGCCCAGATTTTGGTCCATGTACAAGGCACCCAGATCCAACCAGTTAATATGTGGAACCAATTTTGTGAGATAAATTCATGGTGATAAATCTGAACTGCATCTAACACCATACAAAACTTATAATAAACGTTTACCAGCTCAACTCACCACAACAAGAAGGTAAGTATCAGATGCACTCTTACAGACACCTACAATTCCTTTGGATGATACATCTGTGTCTCCCCCCATCATGACTGGAGATCCTTTAGTCTTGAAATGTGTCACCAAGGTATCAACATGTTCCGATAATTCTTTACCAGATTTCACGTGTATTATTTGGCAACGGACATCATAGAGAGTATCTATGACAAGGCAAACCTGTAAAGATGTGACATGGTAATACATATGCACCCCTGCAAATACTGTGTAAATACCAGGAACTAAATACTATTGAAGTTCTTTTCCTGAGTTAAATGTTAAAAGATAAAAAAAATCTTTACAGCAGCATACAAAATATCAAAATAATTAATACTCTTAATATACAACTATATATTGCCTAAGTGATTTCTACTTCTAGATATGGAACAAAAAGCAATCAATAACTGTAGGCTATTCTGTAACACACATTAAACATATTATAATGGAAATACCATAACAGCATACCTCTACACTCCCAATCCATTGCTTTGAGCCAAGGAAATTCTTTTCTTTGTCCCCAATTTCTACAAGAATTTCTTGAACACGATGATTTGATGGAACTGGTGCTATGCTCCCTGTGTTTGACTTTGCATTACTAATCTGTCCTCTCAGCCATGAGCACAAACTCATCAGAGTCCTGTAGCCACATCCCCAACCCTAGAAGAATGGAAAAGTTAACTCTACAAAATGATGCAACAGCCACAAAAAGCCAAAAACTCCTTTTTATCTATTTTTCTTCTACAAATGCACATTTTCATTTCTAATCCATTACATAAAGACCAATTCAAAAAGAATAGTCAAATATTTCAACACAGGTAGTTATTTTATTCAACTGGTTTCTATCTTTGAAGTTAGCCAATACCTGTAGTAATATTCTCAACATACTATTATTTTTCCCTTCAAAGATCAAACTCTTTACTTCTGTTTCAGATCTTTGTCTTTAAAACATCTTACAGACATGATTTATAGTACAG